TTAAAAAGTAATGCAAAAGTAACGTAACGCATTACTTTCCATAAAAAGTAACTAAGTAACGTAATTAGTTACTTTTTTATGGAGTAACGCAATATTGTAATGCATTACTTTTAAAAGTAACTTTCCCCAACACTGCTTAGGACACTAGGCTTGCCACGATACACGGTGTTGGCGGTGTTAAGCCGCAACACCGGTTACGTCACTTGCCCACCGACCCCCACCGTTTAACTTTGTGTAATTTATTTATTTTATTTGACATCAAGGTGTATGCTGTGCCTCCAAGCGTTCTTACTCGTTTTGCTAATAATCGTTCTACGTTTCTTATTTATTTGATTATATATTATACATGTTTACTTATTTCCAGTTTTGTATAGCCTACCTATTAAACTTATGCAAGTTATTTGTTATTTTATATTAGGCATAGCTTGCCCTAGCATGGTGTATTTCTATTTGTTTTGTTGATATGTTTTATACATACGCTAAAGTGAGTTTGACGTTGTATTTAGTTGTTGCAGGAACTGCCGCTAATTCAAAAGTGAAAGTAAAATGCGCACGGCGCTTTTAAGCTATTTAAAAGCGAAGGAAAGCGAGGAAAAAAGGGAAAATTCAAACGAACTAAAAACGAACAATTGCTTTACTCCGAATTGCCGCTATTTTAAAGTGAAAGTAAAATTGGCACACCGCTTTTACAAGCTATTAAAAAGCTAAGGAAAGCGAGAAAAAGAGGGAATGCCCCGCCCCCGCGGTGATACCGGTATTACCGGTGTTGTCACACGTCGATTAACCGGTGGGAAAATTTCCTCAGCGTCACAACCCTATAGGACACTGAATTGTTGTGATCATTTTACCTCAAAGTGACAATGATCTGGGTAATTTTATAGAAAGAGTAAACTACCAAACTACAATGTTTGTTTGCTTTTACAATAAAGCATTGATGATGCTGTATATACAGTTGCACTGGTCGTAAACGACAACACAGTTCACAACTTTATACAGGGCTATCAATCATCACAATTAAACAAAGCAAGAAAAATAAATTTAAGGGGTCATGAACAGCATTTCCTTTTTATTTTATGTTTGCTGAGGTGCACAACATATGTTAGTAGGCTTTTTACATCAAAAACTGACTCATTAGAAATGAAAAGCTACCCTGATGTTAGCGCTCTAATTTAAACACTCCATTTACAGGGTCATGTCTCCTTTAAGACTTCACTAACACACCAGTGTGCGGGTCAAAGAGGTGACGATAAAGACCCTGTCCCAAATGGCACACTTCATGTGCACTTGCGGTCTTACAATGGCCTCCTCGTGTGTGTGTTCGTTAAGTCCATGAGACCGTAGGGTGTCCCATTCGTCATTTTAGCTTTCAGAAGGGTGCTCGTGAGCTCCCCCCTTTGCGGCTGCTATGCACCCTCGATGTGCACTTCTGCCGAGCCTGCACTGAGGCGAGCTCCGCAGCAGACTTCTACCCGACAGTCAAAATGGCATTGCATCACGAAAGTGTGGACTTAGAGGAAGACCGTGTGGGTTTAGGGTGTGATTTCGGACAGGGCCAAAGTATTAAGCATTGATATTTGTCTGCGCAGGCAGTCTGATGTATTTATCTCTATTACGTAATAAAAAGTATAAAGTATAAAAGTTGTTTTGCTGCTTGATTAAAGGGGTCATATGATGCTTTTTTAAAGATCATTATTTTGTGTATTTGGTGTAACAGAATATGTTGACATGCTTTAATGTTCAAAAAACACATTATTTTTCAAATACTGTACATTATTGTAGGTCCTCTATGCCCCGCCTCTCTCAAATGCTTAGTTTTCTACAAAGTCCCTCCTTCCGACAAGCGCAGTCTGCTCTGATTGGCCAGCTGACCCAGTGCATTGTGATTGGTCGAACACCGCAAGCACTCGTCGGAAATGTAACGCCCCTTACCATAATCGCAAGCTTTATCTTTCAAAATAAATGTAAAGACAGAGCCCGAAAGGGGAACAGAGTCACGTGACAGACACCGTGATGAAGCTGGTCTCTCTCGCTTTCTCTCTCTCTCTCTCTCTTTCGCTCACACTCACTCACACACACACACACACACACGCGCGCGCGTGCGCGCGCACACACACACACACACACAC